AGACTCCGTCTCAAAAAAAATAAATAAATAGATAAATAAAAATAAATTCCTGTCAGGTAATTCCAACATCTGTGTCATCTTGGTATTGTCATCTGTGAATTGTTTTTCCTTAGGTTGAGCTGTTCTTGGTTCTTCGTATGATGAGTGATTTTCTCTTGGATTCTAGACATTTTGCATATTATGTTTTAAGACTTTGGATCTTATTTATTTAAATCTTTTATCAGGTCTTCTCTAACCTGTGCAGATCAGTGTAAGGGGATGCTGCCTTGTCATTGCCAGATGGAAACAGAGTGAGCTTCTTTGGCAGAAGAAAGTAGATGTCTAAGCCACACACCTGGATTTGATTCCTTGCTCTTTACCCAGAAGACATTTGATATTGGAAAGTTGCCTTTTTGGTTTCCCCACCTGTGAAATTGGCATGTAATCAGGGCAGCAAACACTTACTGTTTACCTCCACATGCTAGACATTATTCCAAGTGTTTAATATGCAATACCTACCTCATTGATGGTTGTAAGGATTAAACGAGTTGATGTTCTTACTCATTTTACTCATGAGGAAACAAGCACAAAGAGATCGAGAAGCATAGCTGGATTGGTAGGCATTATCTGGGCAAAGAAGTATGGAGAAAGGGTGCTAGTGGTAAAAACAACAGCATGTGCAAAGGCACAGAGACACACAGGCTCCTGGCATATAGTAGCCCTCCCTTATCTCTGGGGGATGTGTTTCAAACCCCAGTGGGTGCCTGAAACCACCAGTAATACTCAACCTTTTAGCAACTGGTTTGATTTTTTTCTTTTCATATATACATTAATTAGCCACAGTAAGAGATTAATAACAACTGATAATAACATAGAACAATTGTAACAGTATACCAGCATCACTACTCTTGTGCTTTGAGATCATTATTAAGTAAAATAAGGGTTTCTTGAACACAAGCACTGACAGGTGCTACTGCAGTTGATCTGCTTGATATTCAAGACAACTGCTAAGTGACTAACAGGCAGGTAACCTATACAGTGTGGATATGCTGGACAAGGGGAGGAATCACATCCCTCTGAAGGATAGAGTATGATGGTGCAAGAAGTGTTTATTTCTGGAATTTTCCATTTAATAATTTGGGGCCATGGTTGACCGAGGATAGCTTGACCTAGTTGACCGAGGTTGACCCCAGAAGCAAGGCTATAGATAAGGGGACTACTGTATTCAGGGAAAGCTAGTATTTCAGTAAAATATAGCCAAGGAGAGAAAATGAAGCTGGAAAAGCAGGTCAAAGGCCAGGTTAGGAAGGGCTTTGTACTTTTTATTTTGTAGGTCATGGAGTGCCAAGTCAGATTTCTCTTTTTTTTTTTGAAACGGAGTCTCACTCGTCACCCTTGGCTCATGGCAACCTCCACTTCCCGGGTTCAAGTCATTCTCCTGCCTCAGCCTCCCAAGTAGCTAGGATTACAGGCACGCACCACCATGCCTGGCTAGTTTTTATATTTTTAGTAGAGACAGGGTTTCACCATGTTGGCCAAGCTGGTTTCAAACTCCTGACCTCAAGTAATCCACCTACCTCCTTCTCCCAGAGTGCTGGGATTACAGGCGTTAGTCACCACATCCAGCCTCCAAGTCAAGATTTCTCTCTCTTTTTTTTTTTTTTTTTTGAGACAAAGTCTTGCTCTATTGCTCTATTGGAGTGCAGTGCCGTGATCTCGGCTCACTGCAACCTCTACCTCCCAAGTTCAAGCCATTCTCCTGCCTCAGCCTCCCAAATAGCTGTGACTACAGGTGCGGGCCACCATGCCCAGCTAATTTTTTGGATTTTCAGTAGAGACGGGCTTTCACGTGTTAGCCAGGATGGTCTCAATCTCCTGACCTCGTGATCTGCCCACCTCGGCCTCCCAAAGTGCTGAGATTACAGGCATGAGCCACAGTGCCCAGCCAAGATTTCTCTCTTAAAAAAAAATGTTCCTCTGGCAATGGAATAGAAGATGGATTAAAGGGGGCAAAGTAGAGGAAAATCTGGAGCCATTTCTAAATTCTTAATTCTTGCTTTTCAACTTCTTTTTGGTTTTAGGTTATGGGTCTGTCTTGAACACAGATGGTGAGGTTGAAATGGATGCTAGTATCATGGATGGAAAAGACCTGTCAGTAGGAGCAGTGTCCGCAGTCCGGTGTATAGCAAATCCCATTAAACTTGCTCGGCTTGTCATGGAAAAGGTATATGTGACTAAAGCAGCCTTTTCTTATGAATTGTTATCACTATACTTCAGTGATAAGGGCTCCAACAGTGTGGAAATACTTGAGATCACTGTTCTCCTAAAATATATATACAAAACAGAAGTAGTGTATTTGAGTTTCTCACATCAGCCAAGATTGTTGACTAAGAATCACTTGACCAGTGAGTGATTACTTTATCTTCCTGTATTGTCTTCATACCACATACAAACTGACCAGACCAGCTATTTAATAGCATGTGTTAAAGATGGATTGAGTTCTCTAAATTTAACGTAATATGTAAATCGCATCTCTAGTAATGTTCCATCAATTGGGGTCTTTTCTTTTTTAATGCAAAAACTCAGGCTTTTTTCAGCATACAGAAAAGCAAACCACTGGAATTTGTATTCCTTTGCACGCAGGGAGAAGTAATTATTTCAACACAGTTGGAACAGTTAAAAAGATTTAAAATTTTCAAAAAAACAATCATTTTCTCTTTTCTTTCTGGCCTCAGACACCTCATTGCTTTCTCACTGACCAAGGTGCAGCACAGTTTGCAGCAGCTATGGGGGTTCCAGAGATTCCTGGAGAAAAACTGGTAACAGAGAAAAACAAAAAGCGCCTGGAAAAAGAGAAGCACGAAAAAGGTGCTCAGAAAACAGATTGTGAAAAGTAAGTTATCAGGGGAACCCACCCCCAATAATTCAACGTAGTTTCTTTTCTATTTGCCTAAGTGTCGGCCGGTCTGAGAAATAAAGGGAAAGAGTACAAAAGAGAGAAATTTTAAAGCTGGGTGTCTGGGGGAGACATCACATGTCAGCAGGTTCCGTGATGCCCCCTGAGCCATAAAACCTGCAAGTTTTTATTAGCAATTTTCAAAGGGGAGGGAGTGTACAAATAGGGTGTGGGTCACAGAGATCACATGCTTCAAGGGCAACAAAAGATCACAAGGCAGAAGGTCAGGGCAAGATCACAAGGTCAGGGCAAAACTAGAATTACTGATGAACTTCCGTGTCCTGCTGTGCATGCATTGTCATTGATAAACATCTTAACAGGGTTCAAGAGCAGAGAACTGGTCTGACTAGAATTCGCCAGGCTGGAATTTCCTAATCTTAGCAAGCCTGGGGGTGCTGCAGGAGGCCAAGGCATGTTTCATCTCTTATCTGCAACTGCATAAGGCAGACACCCCCAGAGTGGCCATTTTAGAGCCCCTCCCCCCCCCGGAATGCATTCTTTTCCCAGGGCTGTTAATTATTAATATTCCTTACTGGGGAAAGAATTCAGCGATATTTATCTTACCCGTTTTCAGTAATAAGAGAAATATGGCTCTGTCCTGCCCGGCCCACAGGCAGCCAGACTTTAAGGTTATCTCCCTTGTTCCCTGAAAATCGCTGTTATCCTGTTCTTAAGGTGCCCAGATTTCATATTGTTCAAACACACATGCTCTACAAACAATTTGTGCAGTTAACGCAATCATCACAGGGTCCTGAGGCAACATACATCCTCAGCTTACGAAGATGACGGGATTAAGAGATTAAAGACAGGCATAGGAAATTATAAGAGTACTGACTGAGGAAGTGATAAATGTCCATGAAATCTTCACAATTGATGTTCTTCTGCCATGGCTTCAGCTGATCCCGCCGTTTGGGGTCCCTGACTTCCCACAACAGTCAGTCTTACCTGCGACTCACATTATTTGGGAGTTATTAAAATATGAAAGTTTGGCAAATACCTGGTTATCTACAATTCATTTGTTATGTTATGTTTTTTGTTTGTTTGAGACTGAGTCTCCCTCTGTTGCCCAGACTGGAGTACAGTGACCTGATCTTGGCTCACTGCAACCTCTGCCTCCCAGGCTCAAGCGATTCTTCTACCTCAGCCTCCTGAGTAGCTGGGACTACAAGTGCACACCACCGCACCTGGCTAATTTTTTTTTTTTTTTTTTTT